TACAAATTCGAAAAAATATAATGTGCACAGTTTTTCTCCAAGGCATATCCCCGAACGCGCTGCAGAATTATTTCTGAGAAACATTGATCTGGACAAAAATTTAAAAATTCTGTCACATAAATGAGTCTTGAATGTATTTAAATGACTGCAATGAAAAAGAAATGCATTTATTATCATCAAATAGGAGAAAAAGACTTTAAAACATAATTGAAAGAATCTAAAGAAAGTTTTTCAAAGGAATTTATGGCTGTTGCTTGTTTCTCATATAAAGGCAAATTAAAAATAAAGAGAGGGGAGAAAGATGTTAAGATCAACTCTACATATTATCAGGAACGTATTTTGCACCCAATTTTCAAACATGAAATACCTTCTCTTAACCCACAGTACCATCAATCAGTAGAACTGCATCAAGACAAAGCAGGCAGCCACACGTCAAAATCAACTGTTATTTTCCTGAAAAAAATTGACAAGAAACGGCTATCAAGGCCATACCCTAAATCGCCTGATGTTATGATCCTCCATGGAGTTTTGTGCTTTTGGACTTTTAGAAAGCGGATTATCCAAACGTCGACCTAACACCCTCCTTGGACTTTAGAAAGTCGCTAAAGGGAAAATGGTACAAAGTACCTCTCCCGATGCTACAAAAGGCTTATTCCTGGAAATTACGGGAAAGAATGGTAGTTAAAATTAAGAGTAACCAAACTGAAAATTTAAAACAAAAAATGTTTGCGTAAAATATTTCTTCAAATAAAATGAAAATAGTTTAAAAAATGTGCGAATAGCCTCTGTATATTATTATCTAGAAGATAAAATGCTGGACCAGTAGCTGGACCAAGTCTCGCAGTAGTATCTATACTTTTGAGTTGTCACAATATCTTCTATAAATACGTGCAAATTGATACAGTAGCTCAGAGAAAATGTAGCCCATGCCTAGCATTGAAGACGTAATATTAATGGACATTCGCATAATTCCTCCCATTTTTCATATTCGCATACTTCTTTTTGGGTTCCAATGCAAATCCTGACTCATGTACAGACATTATGCGGATCATACATTTGATTTTGGTTCTGTATGTTATGTCTCATTGACAAAACTCATGGTATCCGAATACATTTTCTTTTGTATGTAGTCTCAGATATTAACCTCCCAATTATAACTGTTATAATAATTTATATAATATTAATATAACTTATTATAATAATTTTGCAATTACCAAATGTTTTTCCTCAATGTATTTGAAAATAGATAAAGATAAGACAATACAGACAAAAAAAAAAAAAAAAAAAAACATTTTGACGCATTTCTTTTATAACATAAACGTTCATTTTCCTAGCTTTGCACGTGACTCTGTCATTTCGTCTGTTACTTGTTTAAAATTTCCACAGTGTTCTATGTCTTAATAATTAGAAATTAAAGTTAATGAGCTAAAACTACAGTAATATATTACAGTAGAAGTGAAAACATTGACAGTTTCACTCATGCGTGTGTAGGACTTGCGCAATACTTATGGGGGTCCCACAAAATTTTTGTAAATATTATGTGGTCCCACAAAATTTTTGTAAATATTATGGGGTCCCAAAAAAATTTTGTAAATATTATAGGGTCCTGGGGGTTGCGAAAAACTCTCAGTGATAAAAAGGGGTTGCGATTGAAAAACGTTTAAGAAACCCTTCTTTAAATTCTTGTTTCCCACTTACTCCCTATCAAAATGAGTTTTTAGTATCTCGTTGCATGTAAATAAGGTAGAAAGAGCATATAAGTGAAGTTCCGCTTAACGTTAGCAGAAGAACTTAGGAGTCCTTAGTGGTGCGTGTTTGGTGTCAGGCTACATCGTTGTTATATTCAATACGCGTGATCGTATTGTACCTGCCTACTGATATTCGCCGGTTAATTTGAGTAAGGTCCAACTGCGTTAGGTAATCTTCTGTAGCTTCGGGTGAGTCAGTTTAGGTTACATTTAAATTAGTTTCTTATTTTCTTAAATTGAGTTTAAAGCCCGAGTGGAGGCTTTCCTGTAAGTCCGAAAAAGGACCGACTGTCATTATTTCTTTAAGTAAATAAAAGAGTATTTGAATCCTTCTGTGACTTGTCGCTTACACACTTTGTACAGACATTAGGTTATTTCGAAGCCGGAGAGATGACAAATGAGCAACGCCTTCGCCGGGACTCGAACCACGAGCCTCTCGAATACATGCCGAGCGTGCTGACCATTACACTACGAAGGCACGCTAGGAAGGGAGAAATACCTTATAACTTGGACTCAGCGATAATCTCTACATAGTTCAGTAAGTTCTACTACGTTCAGCATATACAAAGTAGTTAACAACATTACAAATTAAATAGTGTTTTCTAGGCTATTTTTAGAATTCCTCCTATCTATACATCATTTAGTCCGGTCAGTGATAAGCCCACCAGCAGCCGAGCGGTAACGTCGCTGAACAGGGGTAGTTCGGTCCAAGGTTCGAATCCCGCGAACGGGCTGGCTGCATGAGCGTTTTTGTGGTTTTCCCCATGTGTAACGTGTATACGAGCTAGTTTCCCTTAGAAAGTTCTCCACGATGGCATCCCTTCCTTAAGGCAGATAGCCCTCGAGTGCTTTGCCGTAATCTAATAAAACCAAACCAAAACGGTCAGTGATAATTTTTCCATATAGTCAGATCGTGCTGCGTTATTAACAACTTCCATAAATGCTCACCTTTATTTACAGAAATTTGTATCTGAAAGGCGAAGAGTATTTCTTCACGTTTTCCATAACTGCTCTCAACTCTTAAGCCAATATACTCAATATTGCCATTTTCATTTTTCTCATTAAACTGAGCATCTTTATTTAAAATTTAAATTCTAACAAAACTAGGATTATAACATAAAATTCTAAAAATAAAGCATTTGTATCATAAGGTAAGAAATAACACTGAGTTAGGCTGCTTTTGCCTTTTAGAATATCTAAGTAAAATGCTAATGTTTAATAGGAAGTTATCCTAAATTTAATACCACAATCAGAGCAATGAAAATGAGCCTTTCGCCCTCGTATGCTTTTTCTTAATCAATTAAAGGTGTGTGTGTGTGTGTGTGTGTATGTGTGTGTGTGTGTGATTATGGCAAAGCCTCGAGGGCTATCTGCCTAAGAGGAGGGATGCCTTCGTGGAGGACTTTCTAAGGGAAACTGGGTCGTATACACGTTACACATGGGAAAACCACGAAAACGCCCATGCAGCCAGCCCGTTCGCGGGATTCGAACCTCGGACCGAACTACCAGTGTTCAGCGATTTTACCGCTCGGCCGCTGGTGGGCTAATCAATTAAAGGAAACCAAATCAAAAGCCTAATTAATTATTAACGATTTAATATTTTATATGAGATAGAAACATCATTACTATGCATTCTATTTTATGTAACTCAAACTCGTATTAAAACAAATTTTAAATATTATTATTTTCTCTACAGTACATGAATTAAATAATCAAGTATACTTTTCAAACGATTAATTGTAAATTTCTTTATGAAAAAGTATTTTATTAACTTATTTTTACTATTAATGAAGAGCCAGAAAAAAATTAATTAAAAAAATTTGAAAGCTTTCGGATTTTATATTATATTTATATTAAGCCGTGTTTTTATAACGTTTTGTGTTACCTTTATTCATTAAATATCATGTTCTTCGCACTTAAACCACATACAATTGAACAGCAGTGTCACAAAATATTTAAAAACAACATATCTTTAGAATTTCCAAGTCTTGCGAGCTGGAGAATTTTTTTTTTTTACAGTGTTGCCATTGCTCGCTTTGAAATAGCTGAATTTGTTAATCAAAAATCGTTAAAGTGTTAGAAAATATGAAATAGATAATAAAAAAAAATTAAATTCAAAATTCGAGCTTCCGGGCGCCCACGTTCGGGTGCAGAATTACGTAATTCAAAATTTGATGGCTCTTGGTACCGTCGTTTTTTCACAATGCGAAAAACATACATACATTCATGCAGATTCTTCATTATTTAATTTCTTTAACAAATGTCGTTATTATTTGTTGGCAACATTTTGAAAAGCGGTTCCAACTTTTAGAGCGATTAAACGCAAAATGCCATTTCCTGACTAATAGCTCTTCTGGAATAACGCTCCTTTGAGCTAAAAAGAGCTTTAACATTATTTCGACCCTTCTTACACAACCTATGTCATAATATATATATTTTTAAAGTTATTTGCTGTTTATCAGAAAGGTACTTTTTAATTACAAAATTATGTATAATTTACATATGTTATTTTCTGAATATATATAGTTACATTAAAATATTATAAGATTTACAAGCATGATTTAGATCTTTGTTGAATATAAAAGCTTACAGGTGTACTTAATTAGAATCTACAGAGCGTGTATTTATTTTTTTGCTTCAGGTGAAAATATACCTAACCTCGGCTTTGAGTAGGACATCCATCCGTACGCAACTGTTTTCCGCACTAAAATCAAACCATGAAATTAACTGTAGGAGATGTACCAGTTCTTCTGGACCGAACTTTATACGAGTTCTAAACAATAGAGTTACAAAACTCTGCATCTTTTACTCACAAATTAGCTGTTGCAAATAATTAATAAAAGAATCATCGAGTTCGAATTCTAGACCTTAAAAAAGCACTTTTAAATTGTTGTTAAATTATTTATATTGTTCTCATTATCATTGCTCATATATCTCAATATCATAAACAGATAAGAAATTGAAATGGCTGCATGTAGCCCTGAAGTTTTAGCAATTATAGTAGCAATCTAAGCCGTATTCAGCGTTTAATCCTATTAGCTTTACTATAAAAATACTCAGTCTGTAATTTTTTCTAACTGTTGTATCAAATATGTTCAGACTTCACGATATTATGTTTTAACAAAGTGGTATTAGCAGTTTTGTTGTGTTGTAATAGTGCATTGCAATATAACAATGTAACAAATCACATTATACTAAAATTCTAGATTTTTTGCAACTCAAGTACACAGTGATTTTTTTCCCGAATTTCAGAAATATCAACGAATCTTTCGAATGCTTAGAAGTTTTCGGGGATTTATGTCAAGGAAAGCCAGAGTGCAATGAAGAATGCAAAGAAACTATTAATGATGTTACGAACTTATTACAAAACAGCAAACTAAATCATCTGCAACGAGAGCTATGTAATCCTGGAAGTATTCTTCGTCAAAGTAAGTGAGATCTGTATTATTTTCAGCAATATTTAATATTTTCTAGTAACGCTCTATTTCACACGTTACTTTGCTACTACTATTTATTTCCTTTATTCGTGCCAAAATACGAGTATAACTGAAATCACATTTAACAGAAATCTCAGCTGGAGGAGGATCAAAAATTTGTTTTTTTTTTACTATGAAGCTAAATAGCAAGAAAACAATAGTTAATAAATGCAACATACAGATATACAGTTAAGTAAATTGGTAAACATATTCTATAATAATTACCTCCTACTGAAGGACAAATGTCTTATATTTTGCCAAATGGCAGCATACTTGAATAAAAAATGAAGCAATGCAAATCGCGTCTGGAGACCGATAGCGCTTCGGGGCTAATTTAAAAACAAATAGCAAGAATGCATTTTTATAGTAAATGATGTGAATATCTGTGCGACATGTTACTTTCTTTGCATTCTGTTAAAGACTGGTGATGTGGAAACAACACGGTGGAATATGGATTTAATATACCGTGATATTCAGATAATACACCATACTGAGGTTGAGGGGAGCCCAACAATCCAAAAAAGCTGCTAGATGCCTTTAATCTCTTTGATATGCGTACTCATGCATTATTACTGCACTGGAGCAAGATAATGTTAAAAGCAGCTTTGCTCTTCACAAATGATCTCTCTTGCACATAACTTGCATTTCACAAATGAATATTTTCTTCGAATGATCTGAAATAACTTTTGATTCACATTGTGCTTGTAATTCTTGTTAATTACTTATTTGCATCATGTCATTACCAAGAGGAATAAATATATGCAAATAGTATTATCAAAACATTTTTATTATTTGATTTTTTTCAGCTTATTTAGAAAATTATGAATGCCTTGAAAGCAACTCGGACCATTATGCTCGCTGCCATAACAAATCTCAGTTGTCTCAAGAGTATATAAAATCTATCAAAGAATATCAAGAAAGGCTTGATGCAACATGCTGGTAAGTTGAATCTCTAAATGCTAGCAGTGTTATAGAATAATATACATTACTATGTTAAATACTGGAGCAAGCTCCAGTAATATTGGAACAGGCTTTTTTCCTAGCATTTGCTCACCGAAAAATATTTTTACAGAAAATTTTAGAATTAACTTATATTAGTTAACTGAAATAAAGAAGCTGATAAGAACTCAGAATTTTTTCATGCTATAAATAAATATATATTTGCATATATATATACGTATTTTCATACATTTTAAGTAAGGCACATTGGTTTTCTGACTCTCATTGACAAATTTTGTATTTGATTTATACTGCTTTTACCATTTTATTATTTTTCCTTAAGAATAAATAAAATTTTTGTAGAAGACATATTTAGAGATGTACTTTGAAAGCTAACACTTGAATATACAGAAGACAGTTTATGAATCGATGGTAAGATTAAGTTGTGAATAAAATATGGGAAAGAACATGAAAAGTAGACTTAAAATACGAAAGGGAAAAAAAATGAGCGGAAAGAGAGCCTTGATCAAAGATAAATTTGCAATCAAAAACTGAAAACTAAAAAACATAGCAAAGGAAATGATTTGCTGAATTTCGCATTACCTAATAATATATAATATTCATTTAATAATTTTTAGCGAGTAATTTACAATGGAAATAACTAGATGATGGCTAAGGGGTTTAAAACATGGAACTATATCGGTACGTTTTTGTTGAATGGTTGATTCCCGCCGACTAACTGACATAGATGCATGCAGCATTCGTAATTTTCTCACCTGTATTTCACGTGTCATAAGGTCCGCCTTCTTAGCAAGCCTTCGTGGTACGGTGGTCAGCACGCTCAATATTTTATTTGTCAATATTTTATTTCGTGTCGATGAAAATGTTCTTGAGATATGTGAAAGAAATTAGAATTAAAATACATTGATTTTTGTAAATCCGGGTATAGATTATTGAGAAAGCAGTATTAAGAAGAACGAGTCTCCACATAAATCACTAAGAATCATACACAAGCAAAGTATGAAGCCACTTTGTGACAACGTATTAATTAGCTGTCAGCATCACAATTTGCATGGATTCTGTTGTTTGCTAACTATATCATTTAGGGTATTATATTTTCAAAACAAGCAAGAAGTAAAAAAGGGAATAAAAAAGTATAACATCTCACCAAGAGTAGAATTGTTAAATTTCTTTACGCTCTCGCTGAGCATCGGAATCTTGGACTCATTCTTGTAACACAATTATTTTTGTCTTTTTAGATTTGTTATTAAGTTTCTCTTTCTTCGCATATCCTTCACATAAATTAGAGGCAAAATCACAAAATATTTAAAAACAGCATATCTTTAAAATTCCTGATAGAGTGTCAGAGGCTGCCATAAATTTTTATATTGGCTATAATATTTCTTTGAACCTAAACCGCCTAAAAGAGTTCCTATACCCTCCGCATAAAAGAGTTATCATAAAAGAGCAAAACGTACATAATAATTTTAATGACTCCAGTGTCATTTCTTAAAATATTTAATATTTCTAATTAGACATCTTATGAATTAAATGTATTTAACCGTTCAGTAACCAACCAATGTATTTAAACCAATCAGATTAAAAAGTAGGAAAAATATTTTTAAGAACTGCGTTTAATGTTTTTCAATCATAGGTTGGTTACTCGGTAATAGAATGATAAAATTTGAAAGTTAAATGTCTTACGCTTTAATGAATGGGAGCATGCTGGTGTGCGAAGTTGATAAGTATTCTATTTAATGCGGTGGAAACACATTGCTTTCAAATAGCTGAATGTATGGATTAAAATTAAATGATAAATATCTCCTATTTTGGTGTATGGCAACATTTTGGCGCGTCGAAGATAAAAATGCTTTATTTCGAACCGTGTTACCACTTCTCGCTTTCAAATCGCTGAATTTGTTGAACTAAAGCGCGTTAAATTTCTGCAAAATATAAAATAAATTAAAATAAAATTCAAAATTCGAGCTTCGAAATGCCTTTGTATTGTTCTAGAGACAGATAGGTTTTTTATTTATTCATTTATTTTACAACATTCCTCAAATTTGGAAACTACTTGTTAGTAAAAATGCGTTACAATCCCCTTGATTTCCCTTCCTCACATGATTTTTTGCAAATTTATCAGAGCGTATTATGCGTTATTGCACTTATTAATCTTCGTATTCAAAACAGAGTAAACTTTATTTTAGCAATCATCTTCCTTAGAAAAGTATTTTTGAAAGGAACCAGTATTTCGAAGAACATATATAAATATAATATTTGGATTACCATAGAAATAATTAAAATAGTTTTCTTCATTCGACTCGTTTTGGTAAGAAACGCGGCACTCTGATTTTGGAATGCATTGCATTTATCATACATTGGCGCCGTGTGTCTAATAAAAGTGCACGCAAATAGTGTTTTGAGTGATTTTCACATAATACCTACATCACAGAGACTTCATGAAATCCCGTCATTTATTCTTAGAGTACATGATTTTCCAGTGAAAATAAAAACCTGTGAATCGAAAATATAATAAAGGATATTATTTTGGAGTGCCATGGGAAATATTTCTCATCATTCAAATAAATAAATATGCGCTATTTTAATTTTGAGCTATTAATAATGTCTAAGCTTTTAACTAAATAACTGATTTCACTTTTTTTTTTTTTTTTTTTTTTTAAAATTTCAGCTTCTATTCCTGGTTTCATGATTGCTTCAAGAATATTACGAGCGATAGCTGTAGTGTGAACGCAACTTTTTTCGTTTCCTTTACTTTTCACACGCTGAATAATCACTTAGTCGAGATGGTGTGTGGCAATAATACTGCAACCTGCGTGGAACCCCCGCTTCCACCGGACGGCGAGGCGACAGACGGCGGCATTCCAGATTCAACTTTTGAAGATATTGATAACTCAATAGCTGGTGTTCGCAGTAATACTGTCACATTTCATATCCAGCCGTTCTCTGTGTTCACACTTGCAATTTGTTTTGTGGTATTATCTAAATACATCATATCTAAATAAATTATTTATTGTTATTTCGTCTGGAAAGCAAATGCATTCACTTCGGAAAACAAAACGGCGAACGAAACTTGGTCTCATCTAGTGGAACGTTTTTAGAGTGAGAAAGAGGAAATTTAATATATTAAATCTTTATAAACGCCTCGTAAAGTTCTTTCAATTAGAAAATTCTTCATCTTAACTTTTGTAATGCACCATGCCTAATTAGTTTTGCATATTTCTCATGGTTCAGTTCTCATTAACAATTTCTATCTTTAAATAAAATTCTTCAGCGATAATTTGTTAGACTAGAAATTTAGATCGTAATGAAGTACTTTTACGTTTTGAGACTTCCTAATATGAAATTTCTGAGTGACATCTTGGTAAAAAAAGAGAAAGACGGAGAAATTTTCTTATAATCCCATACGTCGTTACGCATTTATAATCAATATAATTTAAATAACATTGTATTCTTCCAGAGCAAATTTTCACAATTTAAGTTCTTTTTTTAATCAGAATCTCCCATGTCCAGTCAACTTTTGATATAATAAGATATGCTTCAAACGTTTCTCCCAAAACGTTGCACGAACTTGCTCATAAATGCACGAATGTTACCGTTATGCACGAATTTGCTCATAAATATTTACATGATTTATACATAATTTTTACATCACATCGTAATTTTTGTAGACATTATTAAAAATTGATATTAAAAAAATATATATTTTTATTGCGTAGTCGCAATCCGGGTACTTTAAAAACTGACAGTCTCGATGACAGAATGGCAGGGCATGAGGAAGAAGTTGATATCAAGCTAAGCCAATTATCATCTTTATTTCCAGGCACACTAGTTTAATTCCTCGTACACAATATACACTTTAATCATAACAATTACGATAATTTTTTACATTCAATTTTACACACGTTAATGGCATCGATATCATTTTAGACGGACAAGCAGAGAATAGAAGTCACGTTAACAATGGCGGAAGCTAGGGAAAGGAATGCAGCAGAATAATAACGTAGTGATACTCTGATACTATTATTGTTATTCTGGCGGTGGCTTGGCAAATGCGGTCAAGAGCAGGAGACTGACGTTAATTACCGAAGGGAAAAGGAAACGGCTGTGTCAGGGATCATAAGGGGAAATATAGTTTTTTTAAAAAAAAGTGTTTTTAGGTCTCATTCAGTATCAGTATATCAGTATATCATTAACGTAATTAATGAAAGCCATTTGAAACCAAAATAGGATTTGCATTAGTAAATTATACTTAAGAATAATGGCCCCCATTGTTCTGATTATTACTGGAATAATTTAAAGATTAAATCCGGTAGTATCTTAAGATGTTTTTGCAGTTGGAAAAACAAGAATATAACTCATTTTGATTCACCTTTCTTTTCTTTATGAATGACGAATATCTGTTTGCCATTCACGTGATCAAATAGGGAATAAGTGTTTAATCCGTAAGATTACAAGTATTGATTAACATTTCCTATAACTACTTGTAATTGAGGCTTTCTAAGAGCAACCCCCTTAATTTTGACTTTCAGCTTTTAATTTTAGACTAAAATATGAGCATAGAATCTACCTTTAAACAATGGGATTTTTTTTAAACACTGTGGCATGAGAGTGCCTTGTAATAATAGTTTTAGCGTCTCTAAGAATCATTTTCTGGATTCTCATATTGATTTTTTCCAAAAATATTAAAAGCTGCAATTGACGAGTATGAGCAATGCATAATACATACATATATAACGTAAGCATACCATAAAGGAAAATGAACCCCCAACAAAAGCTGATCGACTGGCTATTGAACTCTAAATAGGGGTTTATCAGAGGGAAAATGGCAATTAAAATCAATTAAAATTCCATTTAATTGATTTTAATTATTTATTTACTGTATCGATTTATTACTTATTGTAATGGATTGGAATATTTGAATATGAATTAGCTGAATATTTAAGAAAAATATTATGACTGCGAGAATAGGGGAAAAAAAACATTTTTTGAATATTTACTTTCTTATAGAATGCAGATGAATTCAAAGAAAATCAAAATTTAGTAGCTAATTAATCTGTCCTGTATCGAGCACTTTAGTTCAGTGATCCGTATTAATGTGCGCTTTTTTTTTTTAAAATTAAATGCTTCAAGAATAATTAGAAAAGGGCATAATTCTCTTCTTACCCTTAAATTCTTCAATAAAAAAAACTGCATTTTCAGCTATAACCAAGTGAAATAATTTTCTAAATATAATTCAAAGCATGAAAAATAAGGTACATAAACAGCTTGGAAATGGAACTAGCATTGAGATTCTCTTTAAGAAATATGGTGAAGCTTAACAAAAAGTCTACGAAGTGAAGTAATTCCGTAGAATATTTTCTAACTCTTTATGATTAAATTGCACTCAATTGTACTTTATAAACGACATGTAAGTACTATTTAATGTATATGTGTGGATGTGTGTGTGTGTGTGGCTCACTAGCGGCTGAGCTGTAAAGTCGTTGAACTCTGGCAGGTCGATCCGGAGTTCGAAATCCGGATCGACGGGGATGGCTGTATTGGCGTTTTCGAGGTTTTCCTCACGTGTAACGTACATAAGAGTCAGTTTTGCTTAGAAAGTTCTACACGAGGCACCCTTACTCTTAGGCAAATAACCGTCGAATGCTTTGCTATAATCAAACAAACCAGACCAAACAATAGATATATAAATAAGTAGCTTAAAAACTGCTATATTTTATACATACTTATCAAGTAGTATTTCAATATATAATGATTAAAAGAAAGGAAAAGTCGGATCCTAACTGATTGTATATAATGTAATCCCTATGAAGGCCCTAACAATTCTTTCTCACTTAAAGTCGTAACCCAAAAAGAGAACAAATTAAACTTCAGATACGTATACAATACTGAATCTAATACAAAAAAATACAAAATATAAAAATAAATTATATATGTACGAAACCTAACTAACTATTATACTGATATTACGTAAATATACGTATGGTAATGACATTGTATAATAAAGATATTTTATACCTTGTTCTATATTTGGTTCCATTTATATATGCCTATACATAGATATATATAATTTAAGAATTATAGTAGTAGTTAATACTACTACATATAAAACACGAAAGTGCATCAATAATGTATTTTTCAGTATTATTTAACTTCATTCTTAAGATTTTTCTGCAGTCTGGTTTGCGTTATTTTATTCATAAGTCTCAAATAAAAACAACTCTTGTTTATATGTCATTAGAAAATTAACCAAAAAGCAGCGACCACAATGTAATTGAGAAACAGTTTCTTAGCCGTGAAAAGGTTGAAAGCCTTTCGGTTATGACTATTATCTCACATACTCAGCTACTTCGCATACATGGAACATAGCATTCGAAATGAAAAATTCAATATTTACTACAAATTCATTCGTGTAACAAATATCTGTCTTTCTACACCTATGGCTTTAAAAAAAATGCTATTTATCTTACAGTTTATCGTTAAGTAATACATTTTCATTGTACAAAATTGCATTCATTCGAAGAATTCAATTTGTATTTTCCTCTGTATAAAACTGAATGTAGAGAAGTTAGATGTTTAAACGACCCCCCACATTTTGAAAAGAGCAGGAGAGCAAGATTATCCCCTACTTTTCAGCCCGCCCGGGAAAAAAAGGGGTTCTAAATTTACGACCTGACCGCATATGGGTGTATTTCATTCTGGCATGCAGCGGAGAATTCCTATCCATGCTCTTTCCAGATTCCTGAGTGAATCCCGAATTGGGCGTCACCTCTGAGGAAGTCCATAAATAGCATTTTCCAGATGAGGTATAAGCTGAGGTGGGGAAAATGACATACTTCTTGTGCCAAGAGAATTTATACTAAATCTGATGTACAAGTATAGGTGATTGGTCCATTTTAGTTTTAGCTGCCCTTTTCAAGTAGCCTTATATAACGACAGAAAAATCTCAAATTTGGGACGACAGATGAATTTAGGGGGAGAGCAGCAAATCTAGAATGTTAACTTTGAGGTCGTCAATTATTTTTTTAAAGCAGCTATCATATTTTGTTATATCTTACATATATATATTACACACATACGCCTTTCTCTTTAACATTTTTACCTACTATATATATATAATGAAAATTTCTGTTTGAAGCATTAAACATAGTGATTAATAGGCTCTATTTGATACTCCAGTTACTATTTTTTTTTCTAACTTTAATTGCTCTTTAGGAATGTTTTCCTCCTCCATCTTTAATTTTTCACTATCAATTAACATGAGATAATATTACAATCCTACACAATTACGATAAGATAATTTTTATAAAAAAGTTTTACAGGAATTTTTGAAAAAAATTTTTATTGTAATAATTCCTTACATGAAGTAAACTTTAATGCAAGTGTAGTAAAATGTTCATTTGTTTTGTTTGTAGTAAGTACAAAATTTTTTGGTACTTTTCCGTTTTGCCGGCGCAAATCTCGCCAAGCAGACTTTATTGGCAACAACATACAGTATGCACATAAAAAATGTTAGGTCTAAGAATTTTTTATTTTAAAGGCATAAACATTTTAATATCGTTTAAAATTTTGTAAAAATACAATAAAGAAAGACAATAAATTTGTAAAAAGATATTAATTTAAGAATTTATTATGCTTTCATGGTTCAACATCCTGATTCGCCGGCTCGTATCTCGTGACCCCAAGTAATCTCACCTCAGGTAAACTACGTTACAAAAATCTAATTCTCTCAGTAATTATCTACATTAATTTCAAGTTAAATCTTAATTTGGAATAAAAGTTTAAATGCAAGAATTATTTCAATTCGTACAAATAGCTTACTCAGAAATTATGTAAAACCGCAGTGCTTTACTTCGCTAGTGCATTCTCATTAGAATGGATGAATTTAACCCTTGACTTTGCCTTTTTTATATTTTCGGCTTCGGGTAAGCGGTGTGATTGCATCCTAATTGACTTAATTACCGCGAATGACATAAAACTGAACTATCTGGTAAAAATTCTATGTAATTGTATGCCAGTATTGAAGAAAGTTGCGACTTGTTTTGAAAATGAGGCGTAAAAGGTTACCATCGAGGATATTCCGTTTGGCATCAGTTGTACAATTATTAGCGAATGTATCGCCTGCGCCAGCAAAACGGTAAAGTACCATTTTTTTTTTTTTTTTTTATTTATTTAAACGTAAATTTATGAAAATAGTACAAAACGAAAATGTAATGAAAAAATTAAATAATTGTTGCTATTAAACCGAAATTAACTGACGTTTCAAGGGGAAACAAACCAGTTTCCGATTAATTAACAATAATTAATAAAAACGAATATCTTTCGTTGTTTTAATACGCAGGAACCAATTTAAAAATTCTAGCCAGGAATACAGTTAGTCACAAAAGTCTGCGTACAGACTAAATTTTAAATTAAAAAAACACTTAAAGCATAGAAAAATGTATTTTAATCATTGCATTTTTTTCCTTCTATTAGCTAAAATTGTAAGCTTAAATAAAAAGTAAATAATATCAGTGTAATACTTTTACATTTTTCAAAAATATATTTTGTCAAAAAACTCAGAAATTCCCTCCAATAAGTCTGCGTACACTTTCAAAAAAAAAAAAAAAAAAAGCAAAATATAAGTTTTTTTACATTACTTCAATACTTTGTAGGATATCCTTTATTCTTCAAAACAGCTTGCAGACGTCTGGGCATTGACTGAACTAGTTTTTCAGTGTCATCCGACGTAAATTTCGCCCATTCTTCCTGCAATTTACTAATTAGCTTATTTCGCGACGTAATATTGTGTTTTCGAATTCGTTTCTTCAATTTTGCCCACAAATGTTCGATTGGATTGAGGTCTGGTGACTGTGGAGGAGTACGCAACTGTCTTGGAGTGTGATAGAGGAGATATTCCTTCACAATTTTAGCTGTATGTTTCGGATTGTTGTCTTGTTGGAAAAAAAAGGTATTAGAAAGGTTTAAATTTCGGGCACTGTCTCGTAAATTTTTCTTCAGAATATCCCTATAAACATACTTATCCATGACTTTATCAATTATGTGAAAATTTCCAACTCCTTTCGACGACATACACCTCCATACCATCACACCGCCAACTCCATGCTTGACAGTTGGATTTAAATTTCTCAGATTCAGTTCTGTTCCTGGTTTTCTCCATACAATAGGGTGGCCATTAACTTTAAATATTGTAAATTTACTTTCATCTGACCAAATTACATTGTTTCCAGAAGTCCTGCGAAGAGTTTAGTTTAAATATGTTTTTGGCAAAAGCAATTCTTTTCTTTCTATTTGTCTCGGAAATGTATGGCTTAGACCTAGGTTTGCGTCCATGAATCGTTCTCAATTTGCCCAAATGTTTAGGTTGGATGAGGTCGATGTGGAGGAGTACGCAAATGTCTTGGAGTGTGATAGAGGAGATATTCTTTCACAATTTTAGCTGTATGTTTCGGGTCGTTGTCTTGGAAAAAAAAGGTATTAGAAAGGTTTAAATTTCGGGAACTGTCTCGTAGATTTTTCCAACTCCTTTCGCAGCACTTTTCGTACAGTTTCAGGAGAAATTTCCTTGTTGCTAGTTAAAAAAATGTCTTTTGCAATGCTTGCAGCAGAAAGTTTAGGATTTTGTTTAATTCGAAAAAGAATTTTTCTTTCTTCTCTCTGCGTTAGCTTCTTCGGTCTCCCACATCTTGGTTTTACAGCAAGACTACCAGTGTCAAGATAGTTTTGAATAACTCTTTTCACACTAGAAAATGGTTTTCCAATGGTTTTACCAATATAACGAGGAGTTTTATCTTCATCTCTCAATTTGATAATTAGTTGTCTCGTAATTAAAAGAATTTCTTTATTGGTTGTCATTTTCGTCAAAGAAAATAGAAATAAGCAACTTCCAATCAACGTGAAAGTTGCTTCGGAAGTCAATGACCTTGAAAGTGTAACCTTCTTTGCATTTTCAAGTTTGAAGTTTAAAAGTTAGATAAGAAATTCCCCGCCTCCTTCGCGTCGTACGCAAACTTTATTGGCTTTGATTTCTGGCCACTTATCTTTTAAAAATTAGTGCGCCTAAATTATTAGATATGAAAATATTACAGTTAAATAATTTCAAAGTTCCTTATTGAAACTAAATATTAAAAAAATAAAACTTTAAAAAACTACCCTTTTCGCACCTTAAAATTTGGATTGGATATTACTTTTCTTGATGTACGCAGACTTTATTGACTAACTGTATATAGAGTCAAAACTGATTCAAAGTACAAGTTAAGAACAAACCTTTATAGGATGTTTAAGTAACTGTATTTAAAAGTTAGCCAAATTGAATCAAAGTACTTCTCAAAAATAGATTTAAATATTTTTGAATAAGAAGACCATTTCCCAACACATTTGTTGCTTCTCATAGTGAAACAATGTCAGAACTAAGTAAACATAAAATGAATTTAAACAGTGCAATGATGTATGAAATAAGAAGTTTAAATATTCTTATTACACTAAAATACAATTGTAAAATTATACGAGATTTTTAAAATCACCATAATTATAATACATTGAAAAGACCAAAAATGAATTAGTTAACTTATATGTTTGCTAAAATTAAATCCGGGAACAAATGTCAGTGTCCTTCAACCGTTTGTTGATATGGAATGCTACAACGGTTGTAATATTTAGGAGAAAAGAGGGGGACAGTAGACATGTTAGATGCTATTTTAAGAAGGCGGGAAAACTAGTTTGGATCTGGGCTACGATAATGTTGGCGAGAGAATTTGTCTGCTTTAGTTAAAACTTTATCAAGCAATAGAAATGAATTGATTTCTGGATAATGGTCTGAAATGTACAAAGAAAGTAGTAAGCCTTCACTAATATATAAAATATAAAATAAAAAATTCAATTTTTTTAAAATTTTTTAAAATTATAAAATATTTCAAAAATTGTTTATATATGTCTGTATGTATAGTATTAGGAAAGGTTTTTCGTGTATCATTTCAAAGGAATAGAAATTTAATTAGAACGATGAATTATTGATATAAATTTTTCTCAGTATTTTAAAGCGATGAATTATTGGAATGAATTTAAGTCAGTAATTTGAGCAGTACTTTAAGACAATATTTAAAGTTATTCAGATTTCCGTTTTAGTAAAATTATTTAAAAGCTATATAGAAATAGTATTTTGAACCATAAAATTTTTAAATTGTAAAAATAAAATGCAAACTTTAAAGTACTGAAAAGGTAGCTATTGTCACTGATTGTAGATTAATTGACATGCCAAAGGTAACAAACCAATCTATTATCAAATAACAATAACCAAATTAAATGAGAGCGTTTCGTCGTTTTTCCAAGTAAGGATCAAATTAATTATTCTGCTAGAGTTAGAATATAAGTTATGAAAAACGTCTATTTTTAGAAAGAAATTAAGTCTGAAGACATAGCACATGTCATATACAAAATCTAAAATAATAAAAAGTAAAAAATTTAGAACTAATTTTTCACAGACCAAAATTTGAAATTCATAATTAATAAATTTCAAATATTCTATAAATGCAACAAAAAATGAAAAATTTTTTAAAACCAAAACTTTTAAACAAGCAATACCCCAATTAAAAAAAATTAAAGAAAAAGAAAACAGAAGGGAAATTCAATCAACTTGATTGAATTGATGTGCTACTTCGTCAGGAGGAAGGACAATTGAAATCAAATGAAATTTGTCTTCTACAAAATCTTTGCTTTTCTGTATCCAGAATTAGCCGATGGACCATTTCAATGTATTTTAATTATAATAGTTCACCCGAAAATTCTGGCCCTTCCACAAAGCAAGTCAAAAAACAAAGTAAATTCTAATTAGAATCTTGTACCTCAAATAAAGCGAATTCTATTCTATTCAAATAATTGAAAACGAAAGTGAAATAATAAATATTTCAGTGATACATATAAATCAAAATTTTCAAAATTTTAAACATATATTATATAATCCAAAGAATTTAAAACGTTAGTGAAATTATATAACTTAGGTCAAAAGACTTAATTAAAACTCAAAATAAGTAATTAATGACTTCGAGCACTTTATTAGACTACAAACGAAACTTGGAATATCTTTACACTAGTGACGTACAGGTTTGCCATTTTGGCTTTATTGGCGAAACAAAACAAAAACAAAAACAAAACAAAACAAAAAAAAAAAACTGGACTAGAAAGTAATCGCTCAAAAGGTTAAAATTTGGAACAAAAGATTGAACTTGAAATCAAAAGGAACCTTTTCACCTATTTTTTATAATTTAACTAATGTTTTAAATTCTTTGGATTATATACTATACGTTTAAAGATAAAATTTTGATTTATATTTATCACTGAAATATTTTAGAAATATTTTATTATTTCACTTTCGCTTTCAGTTCTTTGAATAAAATAGAACTCTCTTTATTTAAGGTACAAGATTCTAATTAGAACTTCAAAAATTTCGGGTTTTAGAACTATTATAATTAAAGTACATTAAAATAAATTATAATTAAAATACAAACTCTTATTCATGTCAAACATTATTATTGGCATGAGATATTAAAGTAGAAATTGAAATATTTCAATATGTTAAGGCTTAATAGAAAATATAACTGTTTCGCGCGCTAATTTTACCAAAGAATCATCAACTTAATTTATATATGAATGCTTGGGGGGGATTAAAAAAAAAGGAGGGAAACATTTCAAATGGCATAAGAATACAGGTTAATGCTACAAGATAACAATTGTTACAAATTTAAAACTGCAAGTTAAGCACTTCCTTACTATGACCTAAATGCCTAAATGCTGTCATTTAGGGCAAGATGGCGTATTCATCTTAAAGAAACAGACCGGCAATCGTACGATGTTCTTTATATATAAACTGCGCTATCAGAATACCCCAGCTGCAACTACATAGCACAAAAAATAAATAACCATCGCAATAGCAAACATCTACAGCGCAAATGAATTCTCCGGTTCATGTATTTTGCATTATTTCCGGACATAGCTTAGCTCTTTAGGAGATGAGTTTTTAATTCGTTATTCCATTCTACTCTCCAGACTTCTGAAAAGATATGTGGGAAAAGTTCGACAGAATTGTTCTGCATGTAGTCACATGACATGCGCTACGTCACAGCAATGGCGCGAAGCCAAGTAGATTTACTATCAACTGCAAACGAAGCGGCGTGTCAAATGCCTCAATTGATGATGTTACGATGGAAGCATATTGGATTACAATATTTATGCTAATTATTTTATCAGGTAAGTGCGTCGGAGCCCGACGTTTTGGCTTATTAGATTTATTCGAAATATGTGTATAACTTATTCAGTGGTTAACGTGACAATTTACGTAGACACATATTCATAAAATGGATTCATAGACCTTTTATTTCAATTTGCAGGTTTACATTTATTTTAAGCTTGTAAATCGACAAAGAATTATATCAGTTTAAAAAAAATGGAAGTAAGCATAAATATCAATGTTTAAAAAATTCTTCTGGATTGAAGAATTTTTTTACTTTAAATGAATATTTAGATTAGAAAATATTTCGAAGTCTTCACCTAAAAGTGATTCAATATTGCATTAAGTCTTGTGTAAACATCAGGGAAAGGATTAAAGATATATAACAAGATAATGTTCAGAATTTTTATTCCCCCCCCCTTCTTCAAAATCAGACACTGGACTGAAGGTCTCGGTGGTGATTGGTATTGTTATGTTCTAGTGTATTTTTATAAATTTTAAAGCGGGAATAGCAAGTTTGGGAAGGAAAAAAGGCATGATTCAGATGAAATTATTTCTTTCTTGATGGAAGAAAGTAAAATAGTTTGGTTCCACATTTCATTCATACAGTTGATTATAAGTTGATAAACAAATTGCACTCATTTAGTCTTATATCATCATAATTAATTATGGTTGCAATCAATAAACATTATTGAAGTTTTTCTGTTTTCTAGTTTCTACCATAAAACATTAAAAGACTTTTAAAATGCATAGTGTTGTATTTTAAACAATGCATAAAAAATTGCATTCCGAAAACAAAGAATATACGAAGATGAAATTTATTTTTAACGTTAAGTTAAAAATACTTGAAATATTAATCCTGGTAATATCCGCTGACTTTCTCCTGGTAACATCACTTGACTTACAATGGATTTGGAATATGCTACTTTAATATGACAAAACTGCTTGGATTCTGTGCAACTTCATGGAGGGTTTTTTTGAAAGAAACTAAGCCATAGAAACATCGCTGATCACAGGCAGTTCGATCTCAGGCGAATGGGCTGGCTGCATGAGTGTTTTTGTGATATTCTTTATGTGTAACGTGAATGCGAGTTAGTTTCCCTTAGAAAATCCTCCATGAAAGCATCCGTTCCCTTAGGCAGTCTGATAGCTAGAAGAATAGCTGAGGCGTTCGAGACTTTAGCGACTTGGTAGCATAATCTACATTAAATTCACAAATGAAGTTGACTGTTGAATAGAATGAGAATTAGCTCTTCATAAGGATTCTCAAAAGTTAATGCTTGCGGTTCAAATGTAGAGCAGAGTTATCTCAGATAATCGTGAGGAATGCAATTTCCTGCAGTAACATTTATACATCTTGCAATAGCTACCTATCCAGATTTGGGGTAGAGTAGACTTTAAGGTACTCCTTGTATTATGGCGAAGTTGTTGTTTTATTTATGGTAGCCTGAGTAGTTGAATGTTATGGAAACCCTACTGTGACGTAATCGGATGCATGATTTTGGGAAATTTTGAATCATGGGATGTTTTGTAAGCGTTTTGTTGTGTGTGTTGGTTTTATTCTTTAGACGGTAGAATGGCCGAATGTACGAGGGCAATCCCAAAAAAAAGGTCTCCTATATTTTTAGATATACAAAGAACCGTTTATTTTCTATAATTGCTACATCACTTTAAAGATTGAAGAATGCTTTGTTTTTCAACATAATCGCCATTTCGGTCGATGCATTTTTGTAAACGCTGTGGCAGTTTTACAATGCCCAATATGTCATACCAGCTTGCCGCCATGCCCTTCAGGAAGTGTTGAGGAGCTTCAGGAGCATCCAGATGATCCTCCGATCTTTACGCATTTTACGAACTCAACAATCGCGAAACTCAACGAATACGAACTCAACAATTGTCTCGTCGGCAATTGACGGCCTCCCGCTCCTTTCTTCGTCATGAATTTCAGTACGACCGGCTGTAAACTCTCTACACCACTTGCGAACGTTTTTGACATCCATGCAGGACTGTCCATACACTTCCGTCAATAGGCGGTGAATTTCAACCGGTTTAAGGCCTTTGCGTTCAAAATCGAATAACTGCGCGCACTTCGCACTTGGCGGTAACGTTTATCGGAAGCTCCATTTCGAATGGCTGCCAAGCCAAGACTGAGCATCCGAGCGAAGCGCCTGCGTGCTTATGTGGTAGCGGGGAAGGCACCACTCACAATAGTGTTGCCAACAACCGTATTAAAACTTTCTCTACGTCCCCAAAAAATAGAAGACCTTTTTTTTGGGGATTGCCCTCGTAATAAGATTAATTTGAAGTTTCTGTACGATTTGGAGCGAAAGGGGAAAAGAGCTTTAATTGACTGGTAAAATGAAGATTTACTTAGTAGCCATTATAAGTGTCCTGTATGTAGGAAGGATATGCGTCTAGTCGAACGTAAAAACCGTTTAGATGGATTTGAATGGGTTGTAGGAAGAAAGGTTCAGATGGTCACTATGTGAAGCGTTCGATCAGAAAGAGTACCTGGTTTGAAAAAAGTGATTTGAGTATGATTGATATTTTGATTTTTACGTGGCTCTGGGTGTACGAAGCGAACTCGAAAATCATGGTAAGTGAATATTTGCTTTTGGTAGTGCTTAAATGTATAACTTTTTTCCATTTTTATGTTATTTTTATTGTTTGGTTTAAAATGTTATTTATTGAGATTATGTATTTTTTGTTTGCCTATATTGTAGAATTTGGTGCTCCTTTGACTTTTTAAGTGAAAATATATCGATGTGTACATGGACAAAGTAAAGGGAGTGCGCAGTGCAAGTTTGTGCAATTCTGGGATTTTTTTAAGTGAAAATAGGTCGACGTATACATGGATAAAGTCAAAAGAGTGCGCAATGCTATTTTTGTGCAATTCGGGAATTTTTTTTAAGTGAAAATAGGTCGACGTGTACATGGATAAAGTCAAAGGAGTGCGCAATGCCATTTTTGTGCAATTCGAGGATTTTTTTTTTTTTTAAGTGAAAATAAGTGGATGTGTACATGGATACCGAGTTTGTGCAATTTTTTGTCTTGTTATTTTGGCTTTAAGTAGCGGCGATTTTTGCCGCAAAAGTCGCCGCTTCGCAAGCCAAAATAACGAGTCAAAGAATTGCACAAAATCGGTATCCATGTACTGCCAAAAATCGCCAAGTTTCGCCAAGGGGTACCCTAAACTATACTTTTACAAAGAATTGAAATTAGAAGCTTAAGGATTAAAAATTTAAATACTCCGAGATACTTTTATTTTATACCCAGAACCGTTATTTAAATTTCTATGACCAAAATATGCAGCGTGAAAAAGGCCGCCAAGCAAACAGCGCACAGAAATAGCAAAAATATTATATAAAACTAAAATGCTGCAAAATCAAATTTTCATTTATTTCTTGCCTGTAATTCCTCACCTAAATGTTCATCCTGCAACTTTTAACATTTACATTTGCAAAATGATTTCATCATTAATATGCAAGTGCATTTCGTTATCCTTTCCGCATACTCTGTTAAAGATGCATTTATAAGCTTATTTTTTTGTCAGCATCTGTTCACAATGTTTTGCACGCTGTTATTGTAAAGTATATACCGTTTTACTAGGTAACGAGACAGTGTGCATAAAAATGATGCAAATTTAATGTTTGAAAACTGAAACGGAATTTCGTAAATCCTCTTATTACAGAAGTCAACATTCTGAAAGTTAACTAATGTTCACGGAAACAAAATAATTTTTTGTCAGCATTTTGTTCACAATATTTCGCACGCTGTTATTGTAAAGTATATACTGTTTTACTAAGTAACGATACAGTGTACATAAAAATGATGGAAATTTAATGTTTGAAAACTGAAACCAGAATACACGGAATTTCGTAAATCGTCTTATCACAGAAGTCAACATTCTGAAAGTTAAATAATGTTCACGAAAACAAAATAATGCACATTTCACGTGACAGCTAATAAATACGGTGATTATACACCATGTCTACAAAAGTCTTTGCAAGCTCTTTGTTTTCGCGAACGTTGGTCACAGACATATACTTCTAGTTTCAAAAATGTTTTAAATCACAGAGTTTCATGTTTTCTCATTTTTAAATTAAAAACAAATGATATAAAATACGAAATTTAACGTTTTATACTTTCCTTCGGTTTCTATACTTATGTTTAATGGAAAATTTTTCATACTTATGTATTATCCAGTCGATCGTGAAACTGTCACCAAGCATCGCGATTTAACCTCAGTTGTGGATAAGCGTGACTTAACAACACACTCATAAAATCTACTCTTTTATTTATGTCCCACTGGTTCTCGATAAGCCAACGTTTGTTTTTATGAGCAATGATACGAGTTAGCTGTTTTTGTTTTATGTTTTTCTTGCATTCGAAAGAAAAAATATTAACCGTTCTTCTATAGAATCTGGACCGTTCTTCTATAGAATAGCAAGTAGTAGATGATCAGCTGAATATGGGTGACGAAACAGTAATACACTGGAACGCTTATTTGCGGGAAATTTGTACATATAGTGTTCTAAAGAGAGCTTCCGGTAAAATCAAAGGGCCTAATAAAATAATACAAATCGGCGAAAGCATTTTTACGAATCGCAAAAACGAAGAGAGTCGATTACTTATTGTTTATTAAATAAAGAAGAGTCAGTTCCTTCAAAATGCCACAGGAATACTGGCGCAACTTTGGCGGGATCTCCACCTATTTTGTAATTTGATGGTAGCCAATACTCACGGTCGATGGGATGAGGACACAGATACGGATTACGAAGTTGCTTATGGGCCCTAAGAGGGGGGGGAAGGGCTTAATAAGCTAGATATGAAAATTGAACCTCTGAGGACACATGGCTTTGACGAACTAGCAAGTGAACCTCTAAGAACGGTCAAGAAAGTGAGGTAAAAGCGGGGAGACCATTCTTTTTTTTCCTGCACTGTTTCTGTGCCAATCAGATTGAAAGCGACGAGAGATAAAAGTCACGTCGTGCGAGAAAACAAATAAGTTTCGGCAGTC